TTTTGAATGATGATATTTCAAGGCCATCACCCTTTTAAAAAAGACAGAGACCGAAAAAGGACAAAGCCGTCCAGACGGACTGTCAGTGGGCCTGGCCACACCACTGTGGCTGTCAAAATGAAAAAAAGTACGACAGCATGTTCACGCAGGGAGTAGCCAGATGCATCCATTACTACAAATTGCAGCAGATGCATCTGACCACTTTCTGGGGAAGATGCACACATACTTTTGTCGTTTTGACAGTGGTGTGTCGCCGGGCCCAGTGAAAGGCACAGCACTGTCCTTTTTTTTTTCTTTTTTTTTTTAAAATCAAAACAACCCTAGCGGCTGCTAGGGTTGCTGATAGGAGCAGGCACCATTATCACTGTCGGGGAGTCTCCATCTATCGGTGGGAAGCAGCACCTGCTGGAAATTGGGTCCAGCGTCCCTGTAGAGTACAATGGGCCTTGCTGCAGTACTCTCAAAAAAATGTGCAAAACGAGAGTGAATCTTCGGCTAGAATATGGAAAGATGCACCGCCATGATTTTTGCTTTTTGTGCATGTCGAGAGTAGTGCAGCGAGGGCCAATGTGAGAAACAAAAGTAGTGCAAGCATGGTTTGTCAGTATGCATGAGAGGCTGGGCAGTGAGTCGCCCAGCGCTCTATCCGATCTTTTTCAACGGAGTATTCAGTGAACTATCATGGCTTATGGTGTTGTTATCTTGATAGGTGCTAGTGGTGTCTGCTCTTATCAGCACCACTAACACAGGCAGGAGTGTAAAAATAAAAATAAAAATAAAAAAATCTTGACCTGTTCACAGTCAATTACTCTTTATCTGCTATCTATCTTCTTGTTTTTATTTTTATTTTTTTAAGGCTATCTTCTTGTTACCTTATGCTGTTGCGTCTGTGGCTGTATGTATGCTATTGCACGTTGAATTGTGCTGTGCAGGGTGTGGTTGAGGGTGTTCCTGCGTGTGTTTCTTGCCCCATTTCGCGGTGTGCTATATACGATGTGGTTGAGATCGTTCCTAACTGTGTTTCCTATGGAACATGCATATATGTCAGTCAATTTGTCAGTGGGCTAATTCTGTCCAGCGCAATTATGCAGCCGATAGGCCCAAGTGTTATGGCAGGTCTCTTTAAAACCTTAAGCCCTTAAGCCCTTAAACCCTTAAACCCATATGCCAATAAACCCATAAACCCTGTTGTCGTCATTCCTCCTTTTGGCTGCCATTCCTTGGGCTGCATTCTTGTGCGGTGCTGGGACAGTGTGCGGTAAGGTGTTAGCATGGTGATGTGGATCTTCCTTTAAGGCCCTTAACCACCCCCTGTCCCCACCGTCCCAGAAACCCATCTGAACCCACCCTCCCTTTTTTTTTTTCCACCCTCCCAGTCTCCCGGTTGTGGGAGTGTTATCTTTTCTGAATGGTTTGTTTCCCTGTGTCCGTAAGTCCGAGCTGCTGCTGACTTAATCTCATGTGCTTTGTGTCCTTTATTCAGAAATGTGGGGGCGAGGGGCTACGGCCGCAGCCACCTGCCAGTTGTTGAAATTCCTGCAAATAGTCCAATCAAATATCATAATGGCCAATAGAGGGCTTACACAAGGGCTTTTTTCCTATAATAATAATAATAATAATAAAAAAAAAAAAAAAAAAAAAAGACTACAAAACATTCACAGTGCATTCATGGTTACAACTCAAGCATATTTCCCCGAAGGCCACTCACCCTGACCATGAATGTATACAAGCTAGCTTTCTGGTCAAGTACAGTCGTGATGAGCGTGCGTGCGTTATGTTCCCTTCGGGGGAAGGAAGACAGTAGTCATCTGCTCAGTCCTTTGTCCACAGAAGGCCCAACCTCAGTGCAAGGGTAAAGAGTCTCAATGCACCCAGTTGACGAAAAGGGGGGCCTCCAAAAGTCCCACACCCCTAGAGAAGTTGAGAACCCTCTTTCAACTCCGGGCCTTTGGAACCCCCCTTTCTACCTCTGAGTCAATGTTGACTTAAAAGAAGGGCGGTTCGGTTCCAAAGTCCCGTGTCTTTTATTTGAGTTTTATGTGTTGTTAGATAACGATGGAAAAAAAAAAGAAAAAAAAAAAAAGAAAAGATAACGATGGATTTGCCAAAAATAAGTCGAATTCTCAAATTACGAAAACAATTCAAAACAAAAAAATTGAGTAGTGATTTAACTGAATACGATGCGGACCCTGTTTTTGCCGATGTGGTTATTAAAGAATGTTTAAACAAAAGCGCTAGCGATCGATATCCCCTCACTTGTCCTTTTTCCGGGATGCTCTTGTCCTGTCGAATTCGCAGTAGTCCGAATGTCCAGAGTGCAGATTTTTTTTTTTTTAATTTTTTTACCCAGAGTGCAGAATTGATTGCACAGGCTCTTTCTTGTCATTAGAGCCTTTCGCAATAACTTCAGGTACTCAGGAACATCTGAAAGTCCCCACTGTTGGATTGGAGAGAGTGGGACATTCGGCTTATTGGAAATCTGCATTGCTCGAAATTGGGGTTTAATTTCTTGAGGCGATTTACACTTCTTGGCATTTTTTTAGGTTTTGGTTAATTAGTCCTTAATTGGGAATTCATTTGGTGTTGAGTATTAGTCATGATTAATGTTTCTGCTTTGTAGATAATTTAGGGTTAGGGATGATTACGGTAATTGTATCAGGGAATAGGTCAGGGATTTGTGTGATTATTTTTGATAATGTAGAATTAATTGATACATTGGAATATGATTAAATTCTACGTTAGTATTAGCATAGACTAGAGGGGGTTGCAACTAGAGTTCTGCACGAGATGGGCTGAAGACAGGCGTCTTCACTGTGGGAGGTCCGTGGTTGGGGATGGGACTGGCTGGAAGTGCCCCTCCCAGCCTGGATTTGCTATGGAATTCATGTGAGGGACGTCGGGCCCGTTTCCCGGCTTTATAAAAAAATGATTTTCTTCAAAAAAAAAAACAAAAAAAAAACAGCAGTACACACATAGATTTGCCCGTGTGACAAAGGCTGCCGATCCCCGGCCCGACTTTTTTGGATCATGGGCGACCAGTTTTGTTTCAGCAAGGCTGGGGCCGTGTACTGGTGGTTTAACAATTTACCAAAACTCATGCCCAGAGAACCCTTTCTTTAAAAACTCGGGGTCTTTGTAACGCTCCTTTTTTTTTTCTTTTTTTTTTTTGGGAACAAGGCTCCAATCTATTCGTGGGAGCAGCACGTGCTGGGAACGGGGCCCAGCGTCCCATATGAAAGTTGACACCCTCCTCAGTTAACTCTTATTTGACTCTTATTTTCAGTAATTCGGGGTCTTTGGAAGCCTTTCTTTTCAATTCTGAGTTAACAAAGGGGTTCAGCAGTCCCACGGTCCCAGCCATTCTACCACAATTCATGTCCAGAGAACCCTTCTTTTTTTAACTCAGGGTCTTTGGAACGCTTTTTTCAAAATCTCGAGTTTAAAAGGGGTTCCAAAGTCCCACTGTCCCAACCAATTTATTACCACTAAAAAGAAGAGGGCTCCAAACTCCCAGTGTCCCAACCTCAGCACAGGGGTTCAGAGTCTCTTCTTCTTCTTCTTCTTCTTCTTCTTCTTCTTCTTCTTCGTCTTCTTCTTCTTCGTCTTCTTCTTCTTTTTTTTTTTTTTTTTTTGTTCTTGTTTCTGAAAGGTTAATTCTTTAAGCCCAACGGATTCAAATACCTGTCGAATCTGGACAGGACGGCCTTTCAGGCCCTTTTTTATTGCCATTATAATACTACGGGGAACCCAGTAGCAGCCACATCCGTGCTAAAGTCGCCCTTGTGTAAGCTCTCTATCCCGGCGAAGGTAAGAGAACCATCTGAATACTCTCGACTCTTGAGTTATCACAATTTGAAGTGCTGCTTTTTGGCCTCGATGCGTGCATTGTTTTCTGTATGTGTGAGTTGGATGGAGGAAAGGAGTAAAGGGGGAGGGGGGAGAGGGACGGAAAGGCTGAAGGCGGAAGGCGGAAGGGGAGGGGGGAGGTGGAGGGGGAGGTGGAGGGGGAGGGGGATTCCATAACTTGTGTTAAACCACCAGTACTTCCTAAAGTTGTGCCCGCTAACAAGCCACAATTTTAGGAGACGTACAGGCCACTATAGGAGTGCCCAAATTCATCCGACTACGGGGGAAATGTTTCTACTTTCTACTCTAAATGTTTCTACTTTCTACTCTATTTTTTCCCACGGTCGATAGCGGGGCCAAGTACCGGTGGTTTAATTTGTGTATGTGTATGGGTTGGATAAAGGAAGGGAAGGAGGGGGGGGGAGGGGGGAGGCAGAGGGGAAGGTGAAGAAAAAAGGGTGGACATCCTTTTTCTTCTCTTTCCATAACTTGTGTTAATTAGAGTGTATGTGGGTCTGGCTGTTGGGTTTCATGCTGTCCTATAACTTGTGTTAGATGATCTCAGAAAAGAACTTGAGGATAAACACGCGAAGGAGATCGACTCCATGGCGCAAAGACTGTCCTCGCAGGAGGCGGCTTCCTCGGCCACCATCTCTACCATGGCAGAACAGATATCATGTCTCGAAAAACAGGTAGGTAATTGTGAAAAAAGAGAGAAAAAAAGAACAAAAGAACAAAAGAACAAAAGAAAGAAAGGAAAGGACGAGAGGAAGAAAATGAACTGGTAGGTGACTGTGTTCAGCATCGATGGGGAACAGAGCAGCATACAATCAAGTACGCTTTTTTTGGGGGGGTCGAATGAATCGAGTTTGCTTGCAGAAATCATACCAGATTCTGGTGTTAACGCCTCTTGGCTCAGCACAGTGGGGTGAGAGGTGGGGCTGAGAGGTGGGGCTGCGACGCACATATTTTTTTGCCCCTGAGGAGTGCCGGAGTGCAGCCCGTCAAGACAAGCAGGTGGATAGTACTCTCGGTCTTTTGATGTACAAAGGGGCGCTGGACTTATTTTCCAGCGCCCCTTTGTAGCTTCCCGCCAATAGACTGGAGCCACCAAGAAGCCAGCTAGGAGGGGGTGCTCTTATCACCTCTCCTAGCTGAGCAACTGGCTTTGTTTAATAATAATAATAATAATAATAATAATAATAATAATAATAATAATAATAAGAAGAAGAAGAAGAAGAAGAAGAAAAGGAAAAAAAGAAAGACAAGTCAGGAAATGTGCACGTAGAACTGAGTCTGCAGAACACAACGGTTGTAAATGTGGACATTTTGAAGCGTGTGTTGGCCATTGCTTGCCTT